TTGAGTAACAGTAGACGAAACGTTTCCATCAGTCGATGATGAACCTTCGAAGACTGCTACTCGAAGTAGTGAACCTTCATTGTGTTCTTTCAACCACCAGTACGATGACATTCTATTCTTATCTATGCTATGAGCAAGAGTTAGAAGAATAATTAAACACATCATCATAGAGGCCAATGAATTGATATGAAGAGAAATTGCTATTGGTCAGAATGGAAACTCGGATTTTTTTTACACATGATTCACATTTGTTGAATGAACACATAGAAAATGAACCACAAAAAGAGAAAACAATAATTTTAAAAAACAGAAACTTAGTTTCGAAGATGGAATATGTTCTATTGAATTTTCATGAGTTCATTTTAGATTTAGAAGATAAGTTCATTTGTTTCATTAACTAATATCTAATAAATAAATATTAAAAACATGATCTAATCAATACAAACACCTGATAGCTAGCTGATTGTTCGATGCATAAGAAAAAATATTGAAATAATATATAGCTAAAAATATTCAATTAGACATAAACTATACCCAACATATGCCTGAATTGTAATCAGTCGAGAATCTTTGAACTTGTCCCATCTGATCGACCCAAAAAATCTTCTAGACGGGTGAAAACTGACCGGTTTGCTGAATCATTATTAATCAGTTAATGGAAATAGCTTCAGAAGAAACATTCATTTCCCTATTCGTACTGAGATTTTTATAAATGTCCACGAAGAAATATCATATTATAGTCGTTTATATCTGTTAGGTTTCTCAAAAATGAATAGATGATATTTATGTATAGAGTGCGAAAAAATAAGAGTTATTTACCCTTCAACTGATTGTTAAACTCCAAATCTTGAATTTTCTCACTTAACCCTTTCAAACAAACCTATTGCTCTGTTACGAACAATGATCTAAAGCTAAATTCAATCTTCACCAAAACATATATGATACATAAGTTTTGCTCCATTAACATGATTTTGATTTTTTTTTTAAAATGATATATACTTCGATTAAAGAAATAAAACAGTATGAATGAACAGAAGAAAATAAAAATGACAGTTCTTGAGACAATACTATTTTATTATTTTGATAAGAGCAAACAAAATCGCTCTCAATAAATTTTATTAGAGAAAAATGGAACATCTATCAAATATTTTTCAACTGGTTCAACCATTTCAATAGGTATAGTCCGACTACAACTCTGACATATGTTTATCTTCATGTGAACATTTTCATTCCTGCTAATAGCTCTGTACAAAAAAAAACAAATCCATAAAATTAGTTTAAAGTTGACTATGCATATTATTTCGATGCTCTTCTGAATATTTTTTCAACTGTGACCAAATAATAATAACTATTTGAGAAAATATATTTTAATTCTACAGGTGGAATAAGTTATTTATTGATACAATAAAAAAAAGAAATACGTGGCGATCATTTTACATAAAAATATAAAAGATACAAAGTCATTTTAGTAACATATTAGCCATGTTTAGTGGGCAACATGTTTGCTGACATGAATTTCAGCTTTATCATGATGATCGGCGGCTTTAGCTGCTGCTATGTCCGCTTCTAATTGAGCTTCTAAGCGTTCACTTGGTTTTACATTTGGATCATTAGCTTTTTCTAATTTTTGCTCGACCTTTTTGGTATCGACTGCTTCCTTAACTTTTTCTATGCCTGCTTTAATTGCTTCCATTGCTTTTTTCTAATATTACAAATACGATGTACTATATGACGTTATTTTCTTGTACTCACTGATAGCGTAACGTGAATTTGCTTTATGCGTATTCTGTTGTCGATAGAATGAAGAAGAATAAAGTACAAGAACGTGACAAAATTCTCTCTCTTTTTCTCTGGTCTATTTCTCTAGAGGTCGTTTATCAGACTATCAAAGAACATGAAAAAAAACTAGGCGAGGCAGATATATAGGAGAGAGAAGAAGGGAAATAATAGCTACTACGCAGTCATATTCCTACTGAATTATAGAAGAAAAACGAAATTTTTTTATCAACTATCTTTTTTGTTCATAAGACATAATTTTAAGAATTTTTTTAAACACAACAACACTTACTATATAGTTCTGTTGGATTTCGCTTCATATTAGTTGGGAGAATAAGTCAAGGTTCTCTTATGTAAAAGAATTGAATATCTGTTTTTTTCTCTCTGTCTTTGGGCAACATCTCAGATCGAAATACCTCCATTCAATTTATTGGCATATACTAAGCCAAAGGGTGATATTCTAGTAAAATGCCTATAACTCTGAATAGAAGGTCTAAGTGGACTTATCCTCTTGAAGTTTTTTATATCTCACTAGGATGTACCTTATGCACAGAGTCCGATTTCAACAGCGCTTGATCAGTTGAAAACATTCTCTCGTCAGTCAAAGAAGATTTTCATCGAACTATTAAGCCTTGTAAATTAATGTTATGTGACATACTATTGTTAAATAGTG